CACGCAGAGGAAGAGGGCAAGGATGAGGATGGCCAGAGCGGGTGGATTGGGGCAGATTGAGTAAGGTAGTTACGCTAAGTGTCGGCATCGCTGTCACCTCTCCAAGCGCTACGCTCCCCAAAAAAGAAAGCGCCTCGCATTGACATTGAAAATTTCGCAACTAAATTGCGTGTAGCAAATCGACGATGACGCATTTACCACCCAACTAACCCTCACACACAAAACCGGGTATATATCTGCAGTATGTAACCGCCTGCATACACAGATATATATATATATATATATATAAACATATATATATAGACAGCATAGGGCTGCAGGGTTGGCTTCAATTACGCTGCAAAATGAGACAAGCAAAAAAAAATAAAAATATAAAAACCCACCCCCAAAACGCACAAGTCAACCCCCGAAATAAAAGAAGCACAGCCGCAATCAAAATGGGATAAGCGAATATATATACATATATATACAATATATATACAATATATATATATATATATGTTTGTGTGTATATACCAGCCAAAATAGAAATGCTGGCTGGCGTCGCAAGCAGCCATGTTTAAGCGTGAATCAGCAGGACTTTTTTTGATTTGCAGCAGGCGCATAATTCAACACCTAACAGCCAGGCAACCCAGCCAGACAGCCCAGCCAGCCAGCAAGTCAGCCATCAAGTCAGCCAGCCAGGCAGTTAGTCATTTAGTCAGTCAGTCACGCAATACACAAGAACTTCAAGGACATTACAACGCCGGCTAATCAACAATTGTCCACGTTTTGGGGCGCTGCCTGCTGTCGCCACGAAAGTGATAATCAAAATAAACAAAGATTAGCATTGCATGTGCTGCCTGCCCCCCTTCTAGCCGCATGCCACCATATTTCCGTCTGTCTATAGGCGAAAAGGTGCGTTTAACCTTGAAAACATTTTGTTGTTGCTCTTAAGGGGAAAGGACATAATGTTTGCCGCTATGAAAATCGATTTTATGCCTAAGTCCTGCGACTGCTCCAGCTGCCTGCCTCGACATCTTCTTCTATTACTTTGCATTCGGGCCCCCATCAGCAAAAGGGTTGTTGCTCTCATTTCGAAAGCCAGGCAATAATTAATATTTTTGGCACATTTAAAACTCAACCGAGCAGCAACAGCAGGTCAAGGTCAAAGCAGCGAGGCTTGCCTAGGCAGTTGAACGAACTCAAGTTAGAGTGACAGTTAGGAGAAGAGAATGTGGCATAAAAGATGCGGCGCAGGAGGGGGCCAAATAAAGGTTTCGCTGTGCAGCGGCACCTAAAGTAGGCAGTCAAAGGCGGCAACAAGTTGGGATTTTTAGCTCAAAGGCGCGCACAGCAAATATATCAAGCGAAGGGTTGCCGAAAGCTACACACAAATACACACACACAATATATATATATATATATATGTATATATATATATAAACACAGAGAGACACGCACATTGGGCCCTGCCCAAAAAGCACTGGCAACTTTTTATGGGGCGCCCATTTGCTCATTATGATGATGACGTCTGTTGTTGTTGCTACTGGGCTTAGCGGAGGGACAGCAGCAGCAGCAACAGCAGCAGCAGCGAAGGGGCGCAGTGTGAGCGGGGCGTGGCAAATGTGTCATAAAAGGCGCAACAGTCTACAGTCTGCATGTGCGGCGCTTTCAGCATTTTGATAGGGCTACTCAACAGCTCCACTTTTTTGTGCTCATTCCGTTTATTTTCTTCTTTTTTTTTCTTCGCTCTCCTGATGGCACCTACCCGAAATCCTCTTGGCCTAGGTCAGGTTCTTAAATTGTGTATGTGCGTGTGGCCTTTGCGGTTTAGCTTTGCTACCTGTTGCACCGTTTTCTTTTTTTGTTGTTTTTTGTCGCCCTCGAGGCTTTTTTAAGCCTGGCCAACAACAATGTACGAGTCCAAATTGCGTCTCATTATTGTTTTGCAGCTGCTATCAAGACGCTTTTTTGTGCTCGGCTCACAATAACAAAAAAAGATATAAGCAACGCAACTAATAGTGGCAATTAAGTCAAGATGCGTTTTCAGTAGTTAACGCTAATAAAGTCAGCAAAAAACAAAGTGGCCAACCGACAAAAGGAAAATGATTTCCAAATTGATTCGGATTCGTCTGCTGCTCATAAACTGTCAGCGCCGGCAACAGGAGCAGCAACAGGAGCAGGAGCAGGAGCAGGAGCCGGAAGCAGCTGCCGACTCCTGATTGCCTCCCGTTATATATGTATGCATATATGTATGCCTACATGTGTGTGTGTGTGGGTGTGTATGTGTGTGTGTGTGCTTGCCTATTTGTGGCCCAATTTCAGGCGACATTTGTAGGTCGTCGGCCTCGTTGCTCGTCGGTTCTTTATACCGTCTTCGTTTAACTTGGTTATGAGTGTGAGTGCGCTGGTTGATGTTGTGTCTGAGCAGAGGTTGACGACATGCCTTTCGACTTCCGGCCGCCATTTTTATTGTCATTAATACAACGTTGTGGGTCCAATAAAAAATACCAATAACAAAAACCAGCAGTTACAACCATGAACTTGGAAACAGATGCATTCTGGAATTTTAAAACTCAAACTGAGAACTTTAAGCTCAGGCTAAGTTATGCATTCTTAAATTAGGAATATGTTTAAAAAAATAAGAAAATATCGAATATTTATGCAGATTTTAGGTATTTATTTTAGTTAAAATTGAAAAGCTGAATTAGCTCAATTAAACTAACAATAAGCAACAGACTAGTTGCATATTAAGAAGATATTTCTTATATCTTATAAAGAATCAACTATAGCATAGCAACATGAGGCATTTAATGTGTATAGGTGTATTAAGGACACCTTTACAAATTACTAACAGCTCGCATTTAATGGGCCTCTTGGTGGTAAGTTCTCTCCAGGACTTGGGCGTCAAAATAAATGAAAATACTTAATATTTGCTTGAGCATTAATTGTAAATGTCTCCCCTTGGGATCGATATCAATGCGCCTCTCTGTCACTCTACACATCTCCCACCGCCCCACCACTTAATCATTGCCATTGAACTCGGTGCTGCTGCTGCTTTTTGTGTTTTTGGGCACAACTGTACCCTGGGAATGCAGCCGCATATCAATTTCGAGAGAAAATCACCTCTTAAACTGTTAGCTTGACTAATTTTAGATCAACCAGCCCCAAGTCCCATATTTCCCATATATGTGTGTGTGTATGTGTGTGTAATGTGCAACCAAAATCCGAGGCGCATGTGACATCGACAAGATGTCGTCGTCGTCGTCGTCGTTGTCGTCATTTTCGAGGGGGCTTCTGCGACTGCGTCTGCGTCTGGAGCCTGAGAATGGAAACTGGGAGCATGGCACGCTTGCAGCTTGCATTAAAATAATTGCTTCCGAAATGACAACGGCTGCTAAAAGTGGATGTCGTTGTGCCCCTGCCGAAGACGAAGAAGCAGCAGATCTTCGTGTTGATGATGTGCTGGCAACATGTGCGCTCCTCTTGCCACTGCTGCTGCTAGCTGCGCGCCTGCGCGTGCCAACATTGTAAACGTTGCCACGGTCTTCAACTGCAACTGCAACTGCTACTGCATCACTGCATCTGCATCTGCATCGGCATCAGCATCGGCATCAGCATCGGCATCAGCATCTGTCGGTTCGTTGCTTATTTACCGTTAAGGCGCAGCCGTCTGTCACTCACGAAAACATTCCAGCAGCACTCCTGCGAAGCATCCACGTCCATTTCCACATAACATTGTATTACCCCCCAACCCTCAACCCCCAACCCCAACCACTCTCCGGGTCCCTCGCCCTAATCTACCCTGCCCCGCAGTTGGAGCTCGTCTGGACGCATATGTCGCGTTCGTCTGGCTGCTGGCTATTTTTAGACTGCCCCGCTGCGCCTGCGCACACAACGCATATGTATTTTTCTGTGTGTATGTATTTTGTTGTGGAGGCGTTTGAAAGATTTTTCACTTACATTTGGATTTTCAATTTTCCGTTTACCGTTGTGCGTTCCCACCACTTTCCTTAATGGTTCCTGTGCGCTTTTCAAAACGCAGCCGCGTCTCAAGACTCTCTGAATTATATTTATGACTGTGCGCCGGAAATAGAAGGCGAGTTCGGTTTCACAAGTACCCGAGAGCTCTATAAGTCTCCATATAAAATATGTGCAGCATTTGTCATGCTTATTGGAATTAACAATGGCTCATCTTACGAGCAGACTTAGAAGAGACACAATTTGACTCGCAGCACATAGTTCATTGACACTTTTGGTGTCTTTTTAATTACATTTACATAAAGTAATCATTTTCAAAGTGAACATCATACTCAATTTACTTATATCTTATTACTTACTTATTTGTATTTCATATATAAATTCCTATTTTAGTTTCTTACTTCAATTTCTCAAAAGTTTCTGCTACAAATAAGCAAGCAGTGCATAAAAATCGCTCGCAAAACGCGTGCAAGCGTAAAGTGTGACCGTGTCTAATTTGTTAACAACTGCTTATGTTAACTGCTTGTGTACTGCTTGTCTGTATATATGTGGCAGCCTTATACTTATGTGGCAGCCACAATACTGCAGTGCACTGCTTGCCTGCATATTCCATCCTCCACTGCATTTCTGCAGTTGCGATTTGGCTGTAGCGATGTTTACTTTGAGCGCGTCTTAAAACGCCTACTGTGAACTGCTTGGTGCATTGCCATTCCACCAAGCAGTATCACAGATGTAGCCACGAATTATGAGTGGCTCTTAACAGCACTGGTTTGTGTCTTGGATAACACAACTTTTATCTGCAATTATCAGGATATTTACTGTGAGAAATAAATATTTTAGAATATTACGCAGCGAAAGATAAAAGAAACCAGGTAGAGAATAACTCTTTATGGAATTAATGACACGTAGTCAGTGAATACTTCATATCAAAAACTTTAACATATACTTAAAAAGAATAATAATAAAAGAATAATATTTACATTTAATACATATATTATAATTAATTTATTTTTATATTTATTTTATTGTATTTGCAGATCGTTTACGGTGCCGACGGTCAACCCGTTCGTCCAGATGCAAAGCGCGGACGCGGCAAGGGCAAGTCAAGTGGCAATGCGAGTGGCGCCGTTGTGAATGCGACAGCCGTTGCCGCTGGCAATGGAACGCCAACAACTGGGGTAAGTGCATCCAACCAAGTGCGTCTAATGCGCCCTCAGCTATTTGATTTTATTGCGGGTCACACTTGCAATCACAACTCACAACTCACTGGCGATGCTAATTAAGTCACGCGACAAAATGGTAGACAGCCTGTCTGCGGTTTAACCGTCCACACAGTCCACAGTCCATGGCCGGCAGACTCGGTGCCCCGAATCGAAGGCTGACTCTGTTGGGAGACCCATTTGGAATGCCACTCGCGGCGAACATTTTCCACGTCATCACGCTGGGGCATCCGCATTGTTTGCGCGGGCAAATGGGCAGCGCTGCTGCCATCTTGCTGCCATATTCCCCCGCCCCCTTGCACCAGTCCTGTAAAAGTTGAGTGCGCAAAAAGGCAAAAGGCAGCAACAGCAGTAGCCGCATAATCCATCCATTCGCCACCAGCAGCCACCACGCGTTGCACGTATCAGACTCGCCGAGTCAGTGGCAAGCTTGCTTGGGTCAACCATTTTACATTCTCACTCTATCTCTCTCTCTCTCTCTGTCTATCTCGCTCTCTCTGTGCTCTGACAGGCAACTTCATCAGCAAAAAAAAATTGGCCCTTAAAAATATGCCGAAATGGAAATACCCTTTCAAACCACGAATTCCAGAAAAATCTCCGTTTATTCGGGCTGTATTCAAAACTCAAATTATACTTATAGACTCCAAAAATGTATAAGTCCGATTATTAACCATTTTGAATAATATTATGGGAAAAGTAAACAAGAAATTTATATTAATCGAGTCAAATTAGGTTTCAATGTTAAGATTCCATACAAACAATGCCTCCAAATTTAAATAACCAAATTTCATATTTCCTATTTTATCTAAAGTTTGAGTTTTACTGTTGAATAACAGATCTCAGTCGAATATAGAAATGTGTACTAAAGAGTGCCAGAGTTGTTGTTGTTTCATTGTATTACAAACTTTATGACACAAGACTAATACTCGCTGCAAGTGTATAACATAAACAAAAAAGGCAGATAAAGTTGCGCTCCCAAAGGCGGGCATTGAAGTAGCAACATACCGCACGTACCAAGACCCAAACAGCGGACCCAGACCAAGACCCAGACCCAGACGCAGACCCAAACCGAGTCGCGTCGAGTCATGGATTGTTTTTGTCGTACAGTTGTTGAATGGAGTGGGAATGGGAAAGAAGGAGGGGACGGGGGAGGGTCTGTCTGCGACTGGGGAATCGGAACGGACCGTTTGGGCAACTGACGTCGCGCTAGACAGAGGCTGACTTTGACCTTAGCCGGTTTGGCTTTGACACGCAACTTCCATAACACTCTGCCTTGCGGGTTGGGTTCGCCCGTCTGTTTTTCCCGCTTTCAAGGTCGTGGCGGTGTAAAAACTTTTCCAATTTAATGCTCATTCACACACACTGCTCGACTACGTCATAAACCCAAGCAGCGCAACAGTTGTGCTCTTAATTTTTAAATCGGTCACATTTCTTTGTTATTAAAATGGCTGATTACAAATCGTTCCACATACGATTAAATGCCTATCAACGACTTCGAGGAACTGACCAGTTTCTTAACAGTTGTCGCCAAGAATAATGAGCTACAAATTAAGCTCGCAGTCCTCGTAATTATGACTAACATTCTAATTACCCCCTGCTTAGAGATCAATTCTATTAAATCCAAAATATAGCAATGTCTGAAACTTTTGCGAGTATTTTATACCTGAGTTTATCTTGGTGAATATATTGGTATGTAGAAAACAATAACACACAGACACTTATATTTCATGTCTATGTGCAACTTGAACATTTTGTAAGGAACAGCTACGAAGCTTGCCACACACACACATAGCGACACTTGTCGCTGCCGCTTTCGCAGTGGTCGTAAAAAGTTAACCAAAAGTTGATAGTCATTCCTGCTGCCGGCTTCATCCTGCTATTGCTGTTGCTGCTGCGGCTGCTGCTGTTGTTGTCCTTCTTCCCCGCTGTTGCTTTAATCTGACGATTTGTCTTGTAAAACGGCAGCGGCAACAGCTGTGTTTATGTCCACATTCGCCCCGTCAATGAAGCGTTGATTATGTCGTCATTGCCACAGTAACACAGACACACACACAGACACACACCCAGTGCTAACTCCCAGCCAGCAACTTGACATTCCTTGGCAAAGGCCATAAAAACGCAGCCAGACAACGACAACGTTGGCAGACAGTCAACAGGCAAGCCATTGGCAAGGCAGCTTGCCACATCCTTAGCAGCCAGAAGTCGTAGCCAAATCACGTTGCTCCATAAAATGGCAATGTGAGCAACAAGTTGCCAAGTGGCTCTGGACTGGCTGCGGTCTCTCTGGTACTTGCCACTTGCCACTTGGCTCTTGGCTTTGACTCTGACTCTGCGTGCCTCTAACGTTTGCGACGCTTGACATTGAAACTGAAGCTGAAAGCGCGACTGCGGCAGCTTCTTTAAGTTTCGCTGCTGCGGTTGCCTTTGAATTTGTCTGAGTCTGTGTCTTGGTCTGGGTCTTGGTCTTGGTCTGGGTCTTGGGTATTTCTTTCAGTCTTGGGTGTCTCGTTGGTTACCTCGTTCTAGCCCCGTTTGCCGCATTTGCGACTGTTGCAAAAGTTTGTCCATGTTCGCCTTTTGTTGCCTGCCTGCTGCTTGCCTGCTGCCTGCCTGCCTGCCTGGATGGCTGGCTGTCTGCCTCTGGGTGACTGGGTGAAAGTGAAGTTTATGTTCGCTTGTCCCAGTGACCAAGAACAACAACTACAGCAGCTGGCAACAGCTGCCGTTTTGACTGCCACCACGTTGCCCCAAAAAATGCAGGTCGCATTCACATTCGCATTGGCAGCCCGTGACCTTCATTGCCTGACAGTTGAAAAAATAACACACACACACCAACACACACACACAAGGCATGAAATAGTCAGCACAAAAGCAGCACACGTTGCCATTTGGGATTTAGCAAGGACAACGCCAAAAAGCGTTGTTTCTCCAACTCTTTGACACCTACACTGTTAGCCAGCCAATCCAGCCAGCCAACCAGCCAGCCAGCCAGCCAGCCAGCCCGCGAACAGCGTGCAACGTGCAACGCGCAACGTCAGCTGCCGCATTCATGTTTGCATGTAGTACTAGTTGCTAGCATTTTTTTTGGCAATGGCTGCGCTACTCTCTGAGGCCATTGTTCATGTCCGTGTCGGCCTTTGTTGGCCAGAGGCCGACCCAATTCCAATCCCAATCCCGGACTCGGTCCACGGTCAATGTCGCATGTTGCCAGCCTGCTGCAACTTGTTGCCCCCGCGTCATGCAATCTGCATATCGTAGATGTATGTAGATGTCCATGTATGTGCATATATATGTGTCTACGTATGTGTAGCTTACTCTTGATGGTCATCGTTTGGTGGCAACACTAGGCAACTAGATATCCCTATTTGTAGTCTGCATTAATTACACAACTTGCAACTGCACTTGTCAAACAAGATATATTAAAAATATGTTTTGCGATTGTTCCATATTATTTATGTAAATATTGTGTTTACTTTTGCAGTATTAAGAAAATTATCTAAAATCAAAATCTGTATCTGCTTTCAACAGTATTATTAATACAAATCGATTACAAATGCTGACATTAATGAATAATTAAACAATTTATGCCCACTCAGGAAATCAGTTAATCCATTTATCTTTATTTACATATAGTAGTAGTTATTATGTTAAACATTTATTTTGAATAATTTCTACCCACTTTTATAGATCGAACTTATTCATTATCCTGCAAGTTTAAGAAATAAACAAATCCGATTAGAAATAATTTGTGTTTGTGTTAAGGTTTCTCTTAAGCAAGATATATTTCCCTTTTTTATTTAAGCGAAGATTGGCAAGTAGATTCTTAACTTGCGACTAGCTTAAATTAAGAGAACACTTTGTCTGGAAAAATATTATAGACTTTCCTTAACTTTGCTGCACTGTGTACGCTCTTGGCACATTTGACGCTGTCGTGCTGCATTTGAGAACCAAATACCCACTCCCACATTCTGCCACCCGATGAAATGAACTGAGTTTTTTGTTGTTGTTATTTTTTGTGCTGCCACATTTGACGACAAAACGAGTCGTGGGGCAACGTGCAATGGGAAACGCGAAACGCGAAACGTTTGCAAACGTTGCGACGCGTCGTTGGCGGCAATTAGTCAACGCACACATGCCACAGCGATGCAATCAGCTGTCACAATGTTTGGACATGCACTGTGCCCCCCTCCCCAGACGGCCCAGTCGGTAACAGTGGCTGTCAGTGGTTGTGTGCGTGTGGTTGTGTGTGACTTTGCCCCACTTGAATGGTAGACGGCGCGGTGCACTTAATGTCTAATTAGGCGCCGCTGAAAAGCCGCTCAACGGGTTGCAGTCCAACTAACTGGCCACACAATGTCAAAGCATGTCCGCAACTTTACCACACCTTGGCCATCAGTCAAAACAAAAAAAAACACACACACACATAAAAAATGGAGATACAAATAAAAAGTAAAAAAGAACCCGCATAAATGGGCAGGCAGGCAGGCCGGCAGCATGGTGAACAAGTTAAGGCGCCACGGCGGCTACCTCAGTAGCCGTTAGCGTCGGCACCACCAACCGTGACAGGGACCACAGACAGTGAGACAACAAGACTGTGATTGCGGCTACCAAACAGCAGCAACAGTGGCAGCAGTGGCAGCAGTGGCAGTTGCCTCAACCGACGACAGGCTGACTCCTACGTGAGCTCGGGCGATGCCATGGCTATGATACTATACCCAAAGAGCTTACATGCGGCTCGTAAAAAAGAGACCCACGGCAGAGCCAGTTAACAGGCAGCTATCCAAAGGCAAGGCTGTCGAGCTGGCAACTTGGCAGCATGCAGACAATTTGTCGTCCAACTGTTTGTCCGTCCTCAGCAACAGCAACAGCAACAACGGCAGCAGCACTTGGCACCACTTGTGATGTCCCAAACCGAAACGTAATCGAGACGTGGCCAAGGGGAAGCTAAAAGGCAGACT